TAATTACGTTGCTTTTATTTTTTTATCAAAACAATGTTTCACGCGGTAATAATGGAAAGTTTAGAATAACATGAGGCATGTCATTATGCATTTTTTTCTCACGGCATGAAAGATATATCCCCAAAAATATCTTATTGTTTCATTTATTTTATGATACTCTTATACTGTAGCACAAAAGAAACCGTTTTTAAAGATTATATTCTGGAAGTTGCTGTTTTCGTAATTTTATGTTTTACTTCAGCCTCAGGAAACTGAGATGATGAATACGATGAGATCTGTTTAACTTCAAGTAGTTTTGCTGCTCAAAGTTTTTCAGATTCTGTCGGTTTGTGTATCATGATTTGAACAAAAAGCAAGGATATCCTCGTTGGAGTCAAAGGGTACGGTGTTTTTTTGTTGTTGAAAAGTGTGAAAAAATAAACTTTTTCTTCGATAGAGGAAAGTTCCAATTCCAAGAGACATAGTGACAGACTATATATAAATTTACCGCCCACGAGGCCGTAAATTCCGAATTTCGGAGACTGTTCTCTGGCTACCGAGGCCGTAAATCGGACGAGATGCCTACATAGCCCATCCATAAGCACAGTTTCAAACCAGAGCGTTTTTTCATGTTTTCACTCTTTTAGCTCCCCTCATTTCCGCTTTCTAATTTTAAAAATGAGAATGAAAATTAATGCGGTAAAAGTCCATCAAAATACGATGAATCTACAAAATTATTTCAAACGTCATCAAACGAAAAATAGCTCAATTTCTTCCACAAAAACGTGAGTTAATGCCATTACTGCTGAATCTATGAGCCCAGGGATATCCTTAGCGTATAGTTTTAACAATAATTGAAGACGTTTTGAAAGACTGGTCCTAAAATAAATACACCTTCCTGTAAATTAATCAGTCGTCAAATCGAAAAAAAAATGAAAAAATATATTGTTAACACATTTGGTTTTGAAGATGAATAAGTCGTGCACGGGTCAGCGGGCCTCGTTTCTTAACTTTTCTCCCGAATCGAAGCAACACATCATTTGCAGCACACAGCGGAGCTCGCGAGTTCACGCGTAGCGCCATCGCGCCTTCAATTTTGCAGACGCAACACGGACATCCATCAAGCACGAATAGTTGTATCTCTGCGCCGTCATCAGCACGCGTCTTTTACTTCGCACTATCTCCTCTATAACCTACTTTTGAATCTACGAAATTCGCATCGTATTTTCTTATGTGTCTTGTACTTTTTGTAGCGTCAAATTGTAAACCTTCTGAAGGATCCATTTCCGGAATTTCACGACTGAACTCTACTTAAGATTTATACAAATTGTCTACTTTATGATATTATATTAAGGTTCTTCTTGAACCCTCACTAATTTGGATATTAATCATATAGGATTTCCTACGGAGAGGAGGTGTATAGGGAACGACTATACGTAAACACGTAGACGTAGACGTAGACGTAGACGTAGACAACCATGCTAAGGTAAGAACGCCGCGTATAAGCCTCCAGAAGTTGCCGTATTGCGTTTAATAACAAACAAAACTGAGACAATTGTTAATAGTTCTTCAATTTATTTAGGGGAATTTTGTTCGAAATTCCGATCCGTCATATCTGAAAACTTCAAGGTAAAATATGCACAACTTGCCTCAAAAATACATGATTCGTCCGAAAAATTTGGCAACTTTCGGATGTTCAATGTTCATAAGGCGTTAATCCTCAGCATGGTGGTAGAAAAGGCAGCCTTCCTTACCTTATTATAATCTGGTTTCTCAATTTTGTATTATATTTATGGGAGTAAATTTAACATTTCTTCCACAGCATATTGTATTTTTGGGGAGTACCTTGTCGTTAATCTGAATATCCTGATTGTCATCTATTGTGAAATACAATTTCTTCTGCGTTAAGAATTTTACGTAAGTATGAAGCGATTACTATAATGATATAGCTAAGAAGAATCCAGGTTTGAAACCTCGCGATTTTGCCACCGCGTCGCGCTGCTCAGAATAGCCGTATATATTTGCCAAAATAATAAAAATTGTGACACTTATTCAAGATTGGAGATCCAGGGATATAGCAACATACTTGAGGAACACTCAGGGAAAAAATATTCTCAAAATTCCCAAAAATAAAGTCTTAACTGCGGCGGAATGTAATTCCCATTGCGGCAATGGGAGAGGGAGAGAGACAGAACATGAGGGATTCCGTTGCACTCTCGGCCGCCGCCGCTGAGCTGAAAGTTTCAGCCGTATTTTCTCTGCGCTTGTAATTCTAATTGCCAATATTTTTGGCTCAAAATATCAAGCAAAAAATAATCTACATTTTGTCGATCTACTTTTTGTAATTTGAGGAAAATTATTTCAGTAGGTAATCGTCGAAGGAAAGTGAAATTCTCTGTGGTGACTGGTGGCACTATCTCTAATCTTGAATTATCCCTAATCGAACCCTGGATTCACCTTAGGTAAAGGAATAGCAGTGTCGCCAACTCGTTAGAATCTTGATTGCAACAAGTTGAGCATCCCTGAGAGAGCGAAAGTGAGCGAGTGATCTTATGTCAATGGAAGCTGGAGCTTGGACTCTGGCCCATTTAGCCGAGGAGTACGGAAGTGGTTATCTACTCCGCGGGCAACAAGGGGATAATTAGTGGGCTCATCCATGTCCATCACTTCCTTGTTTGGAGCCGGGCGAATTCCGAGATGCATCCACCCCGGCTCGGCATTAAGACCCACGTCCGCATTGTTAATTCAAAGTCACTCCAGGTTGACTGAGTCCACAACGGCCGAGGGCCCGTAATTAAGCGTAAAACGCCGATTCATGGAACAACGCGCCTCCAATTCGCGGCACCGGGTAAGTGCTCCCGCAACAAAAGCAACGCCGGGCTAATGCAATGCGCCCGCCCGGCGGCGCTTCATGACTGCCGCACTGCGACTCCGCGACCACCCGTCCTCGCCGCACAAAAAGGGAATTGATAATGATATCTGACGCATCGTGGACAAAGATCACACTCGGAAAAAATTGTGGTTGAGGTGTTTGGATAAATTTTTGACATATTGGACGAAATTAACCAGAATCAGCCTCACTGAATTGTACTTTGCTTAATCTGCCGTGATAGCGAGGAGAGCCGTAAGTGCAAAAATGAATTTTTGAGAAAACGGGCTCAGAAGCTTCTGACAAGATCATTTTATTGAAGGAAGCCTCCGTTCTTTGTCAAATTGCCACTAATCGTCCGGAAGACTCCTAGAAATCGTATGGATGATTAAAAATCGACTGATTTTATTTCCATTACATAAAAAGGGTATTTTTCATTTTCATGCTAGGTTATTGTTAGGCAAGACAGCCGTAAGTGCTATCTTCTGCATGCTTTCGTGGTTGCGTTTTGAACGCACAACAAACACATTTTCAGGTTAGAAATTGGCAGAAAAGGGCGGCACTTTACTGGAAAGCACTGTTTTCATTGGCTCTCATGCATCTACGGCTGCCTTGAAAAAAAAACTGTGTCATTTTTTGTGCACTTACGGCTTTTACATACGTCTCGTTTTCATTAAATTAGGATGAATTTTGCTGTTTTAGCTGTCTCAGTAATTTCATCTAAAAGAGTTTAGACGACTTTTAAAGAAAACTCCATTTCGAAAATTTTGCACTGACGGCTCTCTTCGCTATCACGGCATGGCAGTAATATCCTCTTACCTTTCATTTGTTCAACAGAGGAGGAAACAACTTAAAGATTTGAAATCATCTAAACATTTTCCATGAGAAATAAAGAATGTATTGAAAAAATTTCAAGTCTGAGTTTTGCTTGATTTTTTGTTAAAAAATTAAATCAGAAGAGGAGATTAGGCAACATTTCACTGGATTTTTCTCCTTTGCACAATAGCATTATGCAAGAATACGTCAGGCGTCTAAACGCAACTATTCGCACTCGATGGACGTCCGTGCTGCATGCACACCAAAGTTGAAGGAGCACTGGTTCTCCTAATGCACCCCACCCCCTCTACATTTACCTTCGTTTGGAAGACTTGAGTCTTCCAACCTTGCGAAATAGTTGCTTGAAGCGCCGTAGCAAACCTTGGCGCGGCGGGCAACCAGTGTGACACGCGCACACAGCGCCTACAAACCTAACTAGGATACTTCACGCATTGCGCAATGCGTGAAGTATCCTAGTTAGGTTTGTAGGCGTCAGTGCGCGTTTCGTGCTGCTGACACGCCGCTCAGCTCTGTGTCAGGATCTAATATTTAAACTCGCGGAGTCAGCGTTTTTCAACTCATTATTTTGAAATGTTTGCAAGTTCTGCGTGGATTATTCTCATTTGAATTGATGAAAGAAAAAATATGTATTAGAGGAAATTATAATATGTGTTCTGTAAATTTAAGGTGGCTCTGTTTCAAATGTAACGATTTCCGAAGCACTTTTATTTTTTTATTTTTTATTATAAGATTTCATCTTCTAAATCGGAAGACGAAGACAAAGACGATGAAGACGAAGAAAAAGAGGAAGAGAGAAATGAAGAAGGGAATTAAGGGGGACTTGACGAGGAAAATACATTTCTCCTAGAACTCTTTATCCGCTACTTTTTCTTTTACTTCCTCCTCTGCCTTCCTTCCTAAATTCCTTAATTCCATTTTCCTCCTCCTCCTCGTTCTCCTCCTCCTCCTCCTCGTTCTCCTCGTTCTCCTCGTTCTCCTCGTTCTCCTCCTCCTCCTCGTTCTCCTCCTCGTTCTCCTCCTCCTCCTCCTCCTTCTCCTCCTCCTCTTCCTCCTCCTCCGCTTCTCCTTCTTATTCTCCTCCTCCTCTGAATCTTCGTCTCCTTCTTATCATTACCTATGCTCTTTTCACGCCTTTTCTTCTTCCTCATATTCACCCTTTTTCTTACCCTCCTTCTTTTTTCTTCACCTCGTATTCTTCCTCTGTATACCCACAATTGCTCTTCACTCCCCTACTCATTCCCTCTCGCTCCCTCCCCTATCAATTTCTTCTTCGTCTGCGTCTCTCGGGTGCAACAGACAAATTTAGGTGACCTACCTTTGCGGAACTGAGTATTTTTCCTGATGACGTTCTCGGCGTTCTTGCGGGCGATGTAGAACCACTCGCTGGTGTTGCTGAGGTACTTGTACTCGACGGCGAGGTCCTTGGCCAGGATCGGGCCCTCGGGGAGCCGGTAGGCGTACGGGCAGAAGAGCCGGTAGCCCTTGTACTGGTTCTCGTCGTAGCAGTTGCCCGCCGCGAAGATGTCGTCGTCGAACTCCACCATGGAGATGACCCCCGCGTGGAGCAGGTACTCCGACTCCATCACCGGGGCCGGCGCGTACTTCCACAGCCGCGTCAGCATGTTCGCACGATTCACCGCCACGTCCGCTTCAACCCGGAATCGCTCCTGTAAACATTCAAAAACATACATATTAGTTCTACATTTTCATGAAATATCCATGGCCAAAATGTGAAACCTTGTATCTCTGTTGTAGTGACGTTGCAGATTTCATATATTACTTTATTATTTCTTTTTTTTTTTTTTTTTTTTTTTTTTTTTTTTTTGTATTAACAAGTTCTTGATAATACATTATACATATCATTTCATTTCTCGTACTTAAAAGACTACTAAAAAGAGACATAATAAAAATCGTGGGGAACACAGAATCATAACATTACTAGTACATAGAAAATTAAGCATCAAGTCTTATCTAAAGTTGACTATGCACTGGAAGAGCAGGTCGGGAACTTGTTGTCAGCCTTTTGCTGACACACCGGAATTTATTATTTCTTTGGAAAAGTGCTCAACGTAACTTTTTACTCCATTCCTAGACGTCCAGAGAGCAGTTCTGGCTTTTCTAGTGCGTTCATCGTAATTTTTAAACCAGTTCACCTTAGAAACAACTGTTTTTTTTTTTTTTTTTTTATTCTAGCAAAATTCTGCGGCCGATCAAATTAAAATGGTAAAGCGCCACCAGCACTTCAGTCCAGGCGTTTGAAAAGTCAAAGCGCCTTCACAGTTCTGGATATGCAACGCGCACATCCCTCAAGGGCGAATAGTTGCATCTAGGCGTTTTTATTAATGTTGCGGTGCCAATGCTAAAAAGCCCGCATCGCAAGGGCGAGCTATACAAGTTATCGACATATTTATTGACCAGAAAAAACACAAAACATCGGTAAACAAGGCTAAAAACAGAGACATAGAAAACATGGGACGATGTCTGTATTTTTAGCTTTGTTTACCCATTTTTGTGTGTTTTTTCTAGTTAAGTTATTCGAGCTATCTGTATGTTTTATCTTTATATTTATTGATTTATTCATCAACTATCACATGAGTATTAACTCTACATCAAATGATGAAGAAAAGTAGGATCATAAAATACATCAACTTCGAAAATTGCCTCCTGAATATGCAGATTAAACTGTAATTTTATTTGAATAAGATTTTGGCCTGAGAAAATGTTTCTTGTTCAAAAAACTTACAAAACATTAATCAATTTTAATGCTACGATTTTCTTTCAATAAATAAGCGTAAGTAAAGTTTTTCAGTTAAAGCCTCGTGATGAAAAACTGCCTCTAATGTTAACGATGATGGCTGTACAGACGAGCATGTTCTTCGCTGTCTAGCGTCTGTGCGTCACCGTACCGAGCAGAAAGATCATATAAATATTGAGCGAGTTGATATTTTCTCACACGTCAAGGCAAGTTTGCAGGAAGGAAGGATAAAATTGTCACATTAAATATAACGGTTCGAGCGAAAAGCGTTCACGAAGTTTTATTTGTGTTATATAAGGACGCGATAGTAATCAATTTATTTCCAAGTGACAACAGGCCTTTTCTCGAGCGACAAATTGGCTCCGGGTATTTATTTGGGCCAATGTCTAAACTCGCAAAGCAGCCCTCTCAAAATTTGAGCGGTTAGCACCATTACCATAAAAAGTAACTGAGCGTGCACCGAAAAAGAAAGCCTTCTTTACGATCGCACTTTGCTTCGTTTACTGCGGGAGGGGGCAATGTGACTTTCTCCCTATTTCCATACAGCGGCGTACTTTTCCCGGAAATAAAGATAAAATTGACACCAGGACCAAGTTAGCCTTTTTCATCAAAAACGGGCTGTAAACGTTGTGCTTCATACCAAGCAAGAACGTTGCCAAACCAGCAAAATATGAGGAGAACTTTCTTACTATTCATTTGAAGTGTTCGATTTAAGAGTATATTTTTCAGTAAAGTTTTGCAATATATACAGTGGTGCAAATGTTTTATTTTCTCATTTTTTTTTTACACCCCTCAAGTTTCAAATATAAAAATCTGAAAAGGTCGTCATGAAATATCTTCACTGCTATATGAGGCTTCCACGAGGGGATCTTTCTTCATATTTGGTCAAACTCTTTTACAGATTTGGACCTAAATTAGCGGAGTTGCCATGATTACGGGCTATAAAACAAATCGTGATACTCAAGGTCTCCGTCCAGTGTCTTAACTCATTTTTCAGGTATTTTATTGCGGTTATACTGTTCCGATGGGATCTCAATTCATAAAGTTTTTGTTTTCTTTATTGAGCAAGAAATTGGAATTTTTGATAATTTAGAGCATAGTGCATTGTGCAACACTGCACTTTTTCGGAAATTACTGAAGAAATTCCCCACCATCGTTCACAACTTATTCATGTATTCTATGCACGCATATATGTGGAGTCTGCATATCAAAAATTACCTTTCCGGGTCATTCCATGCGAAAACCTAACATGTCTGAAAATAAATTTGCCCATATGCGAGTAAATCTAATGCAATTCTGGCAAGGTTGTCAAAATTAGCCATGATTCGCCCAGATACACCAAATAGACATATTTCTGCGGAAACTGCCAAACGGAACTATGTAGATTAAGACATGAGCCCTGAGACCTATTAGAATATATACGTAACAGGGCTCATGTCATAATGCACATGGCTCCGTTTGGCAGAAATACGTCCAAATGTCATTGCTGACATTCATTTGGACTACATTTTGCGATGAGGAACTACCATTTCTGACTCTTACATAAAAACACCTATCTACATAGCGAATCTAATGAAAGATATGTTCTTTCTAAAATAAACCGGGAATCGTGATTCCAAATTGTAGTCTATCTTATACTTCAATCAGCGGGAAACCTTTTGTTTTTCCCGTTAAATATAGGTAGAATGACAGCAGTGGCAGTGGCAGTGGTATTTTGCGATGTATCGATTGATATGCCATACACATTTATGAAAGAAGATTGACTATCAGGGCGTTCGCAACGAACACCATAATAATCGATTCTTACCCATAGTTTCAAATGGGAAAATATCGATGGTCGATTATCACGTCGCCCCACTGAATGACAGATTTTACCTTCAATAAATGCATTTGGTATGAAATTTTCTTTGATGCAAAATTGTATGAAATTTCACTATGCATCTCTGGGCACAACTGACATTTGGATTGCGTTTCGCAAAAAGTAATGAAGAGCACTCCAATGTCGCGCCAAAACACCGTGCGCTTTTGCCCGCAAATCAGCCGATGTGTAACGCGACGAACGATACGAAGTCTCGACTTGGGTCATGCGACTATTCGTGCTCCGAAGTAGCCTGCGTTGCATACACGTGACTTTGAAGGCGCCATGGATTTGATTACGGTCAGAGTGCAGCAGTGACGTACGACTCGGGCGACTCAAGTTGCTGACATTATCCTGGACAGAGATGCAAATACTGTCATACCAAGGAAAAACGTCGTATGAACCTTAAAGCGTTGCCGAATTTCCTTTGTCAATAATTAATTGTCATCCAATTTTTATACAAATTTGTGCTGAATTTATTATAAAACATAGGGTTGAGCGACTTACATTCTTTGGAAAAAACTACTGAAATCATGAAAACATTTAAAGTTACAAAGATAATTTTCGTCTTGAATTCAACATTTATCGGGAGTTAAGATAAAATTTAATTAGATGATCTGTTTATATTTTGAAAGGTGAAAAAATATGCATCATCTTAACGACATTGGAATGCTCCTGGTTCCTTTTTGCAAAATGCAATCCGTTTCAAACCTACATTTGGATTGCATTTTGACAAAAAGGAACCAAGATCACTGTTATGTTGCTAAGATTGTGCGATTTCATTCTTTGTGATAAAAGAACTGAAATCATGCAAAAATATACAATTTACAAGGTATTTTTTGTCTGAAATTTACAGTTTTTGGGGTGTAAAATAGAAACTGTTTACTGGCGATCAGGGTTTTCTTCCAAGACAAAAAAGGTTGCACAATCTTAGCAATATTGCAATGCTTTTGGTTCCTTTTCGCAAAATACAATCCATTTCAAGAAGGCGAGAATTGAACCTCGTTAGATTTGGCAACGTGGATGGGAATAAATACACCAAAGCTGATTACTTTGCCTCCGACGACGCTGACTCGTGACGAAATGCTTGTATCCCTTCAGGTTTAACCGAAAATTTGTTCCGCTGCTTGGCTTCCGCGGGGCGAGGAGCGGGGGGGGGGATGTACGAGGGTTGAGGGTCGTTTTTTATAAACGCTCCGTTTGGAGCTGCGCACGTGTTGAAATTGTTTTTGGCTCACTTTCTCCCCGAGCAATTTCAGCTCGAGAGTGAAATTTGCATTTTCCTGACAGGTCTCCCGGAGTAACGACACGGGCCGTCACGGCGGGAATTTTGGCTTTCGGGGACGCTTACGTCATTTTACGTCGTAATCCGGAAATTCGGAGGCAATCAGTCCCGCGCTTCCGCCTCGCGACCGACCGTGTGCTTGAATATTGATACTTGAGACCTACGGTTTTATTAAAGCGAGCATCATGGATATTCATGAAAACACGACGTAACATTTAGCTTTTAATCGCTGTTCTTTGAGCATTTTTCGAGTCTCTTCGTCGACGTCAACGTTGCCTTTCTTGCGCTGAGAAAGGTTGAAACTTCCCAACTGCAAAGTTTTTTTTATGAAATTCTTTCATTAAGGTGATTCGATGGACGGCATATTTTGTGTCAGAACGGCATGCGATATATCGCATCAATTGGTTCCATTTTTTCAGCTACTCGTCATTTTTCTTCAATTTTGAGATCGTAATTCTGCTGTCAGGAGACTAAAGCACTCTCTTACCAATTTTAACAAAGAAATTCAACGTATTAAAGGCGTGGTTATTTTAGAGAGAAAATATCGCATTCAAGTGCAGTTTCGATATCAGTATCGAATGCGATGTTTTCTCTCTGAAAAAACCACGCCTTTATTACGTTGAATTTCTTTGTTAAAATTGGTAAGTGAGTGCTTTAGTCTCCTGACAACAGAATTGCGATCTCAAATTTGGAGAAAAATGACGAGTAGCTGAAGAAATGGAACCAATTGATGCGATATATTGCATGCCATTCTGACACGAAATATGCC